GGGGACATCTTATATGGAGGAACCATCGCAGGATGTGGACCGCCTACAGCGCAGTAATACTAAAATCCTTTATTTTGGCTGATTTGTTTCCCTCTTTTTCTTGCCCCAGCTGACTACTGGCCGCCGGACATGTTCATAACACGAGCCGACTTCCAGCTCCTGAGTGTGCGACTCTGAAAACTGCCAAAACAAGAGACCCCTGAGGAGAGAAGATTGTAAATTCTAAACTCCCGCCCCCCACCGTCCGTACCCCAAATCTAATGGAAAGGATCAGACACCCCCCTCTGCACTCAGTGGTTTGATCCACCATCCCTTATGTCCCCATAGGATACTGTAGTGGAGTAGGGGCCATGGATCCAACCATTGAGTGCATCAGGGGATCCAGAATCCAACATGGCAGAAAGTGTTGGATCCAGTGGCGTAATAATCGCCATAGCGACCCAGGCGGCCGCTATGGGGCCAGGGGCACATGGGGGGCACGGCCAGGACATCCCCCGGATGCCGTGCGTGCCGCCTGGGTCGCTATGGCATCTCAGGCTGCTGGCGGTCGCTGGCGGCTGTGAGGAGGAACGTGTCTCTGTTAGATCACCGACAATCTGCCAGTTATCTGCGCAGCGGCGCGTTTCTCCTCACAGCCGCTGCTGAGTCAGTGACAGCCAGCAGCCGTGGAGCAAGAAGGCTGGGCACGACGTCAGAAGCGGAGGAGGAGGCGGGGCCCGGCGATGGAAGAGAAGGCGGGGCCTGGCGACGGAGGAGGGCATAACTAGAAATCACAGGCCCCCATACAAAATGTTGCTATGGGGGCCCTGTGATTTCTAGTTACGCTCCTGGTTGGATCCTAAAGTATCCTTGGTGCAGCGGCTCACCGTTTCAGGGGCGGGGCGCTGGGAGAGAGTGTCCGCCATCTTATTTTTACAGACGCCCCTCATATTCTTTATTGATGAAGAGTTGTATCCCAGCCATCGGGGGACCACAAATCTCAGTCCTTTGGTTGGGACTTTGCGCTGGGCCTTACAGGAGCCACGTTGGCATATCATTTGCTGGTCTCCATGTTTAACAAGCTGCGTGCCCGCTCACCCGTCATCCCCGTCCCTGCCATCACTCTCAGCTCGTTAAATATTTTAGCACACGACTTGCTGCGCGGCGCGGTGACACCTGTGTTTGCATTATTAAAATGATGGGGCTTTTTATTGCTTGGGATTGGCGCGGCGCCCGGCCGTGTGTTGTGGCATGCCGGTACAGAGAGCCGAGGTCCCACGGGAGGTTCTGTTGCCAGGCAGGGGAAGAGGGATGCTTCAAGGTTTCCAGGCAACAACGACGCAGGGAGAGCATGGAGATGCTTAACCCTTCGCCAGCTGCGGGCCGG